CAAATTATGGACAAGCACTTGACTTTTGATCATCTGACAGATTTTCGAATGAAACCCGTTAGAGGTCCTTTAGGTGCACATTTATTGAAAAGTTTGTGATGTAACTACTATGGTTTAAAGGTTTGGGGATGCGATTCACAATTTTAAAAGGTTTTGAGACCTCTAATACATATTTTCCTGAAAAATTAATTAAAAATTATAAACAGTTTTTAGTTAGTGTTATTTAAAACACAAACAATTTAACAAATATCATTAATCAAAGAAAGTTTTGTCCGTAAATAAATAATGAAAAATAATAAAATTAAATACAAATTGAAAATATTGTTGACAACAAAATAAAAGTTAAAAAAATAATTAATAAGTCGGTTGTGAAAATATTATATGAAACAACAAATATATATTTTGACTTCGTGAGTTGAAATAAACATATATAGCAAGAATATTATTTTGTGCGTGACATCAACAACTGCTTCTGGACGTCGTCATGACGACATTATTATCAATAACCATGCCAAAGGTATGCTAATAATAACCTACTGTATCACTGTCGATAATTTCGTTTGAATTACCAACATATACTCATTTCAAACAGAATCACCAATTGTCATATTGTCGAAGATTGAAGTATTGGTGGGATTCTCGATAATGTCACTACATGATCGATGACAATACTGGAAGGAAGTGTGTTAGCGATCATCGATAGAATTGCAGTTGGCAATTCTATTTGAATCGCCAATAAATATAGATTTCAATCAATATCACTATTAATGATACTGACAACTTGTCGTTCATTAATTTGAAGCATCGTTTTTGATTCTTGACAACATTATATAACATTGTCGTTGATAATAGTTGACAAAGTTGTGTTGGTGATTTCGCTTGAGTCGCCATCACAAATTTATTTCAATTAGAATCACCAACCTATTAACAATGATGAATGATGGAATTTTCGATAGTAATTATTTTCTCCATAAATTTTTTATTATTGTTATCGAAAATTCTCTCTTGAACATCTTGCCTAAGTTCCCTCAATTGCTTGAGCCACCTCTAATAATTATATGTAAACTTTTAACTACTTTGTCAATTGTGTTCAAGGCAAACCATTTCAATCTACCTAGGAATGCTACAATGGCTAACCTTTGGTCTATTCACTAAGTTTGACGAGCTATGCACCCATGGAGATTAGCATGTTTGCTAGAGATGCGCTACAGTGACAGGGTCGGTGATCGACCCAAAAACAGGGGGCCGAGGTGGCTTCATCTCGGCCCTTAATCTAATTTTCAACAGTAAAAATCAAGGATCGAGGTGGCGCCCTGTTTTCTGATCGGTCACCAACCCTGTCCGTTTAGGATTTTTGTGTTTGCTAAGCTTTACAAATCACCTTTACGGTTGGCCATGTGCCATTCAATAAAAAAAGTGTTTATAAGCTTAGCCAAACACGGTAATAGATAATTGACCTTGTTTATGTGAACTTAGCGTAGACTAATTAAACTAAAATCGCGTCTACTGACTTGATTGTTAAAACATTTTAGTCGAGAACACAGAGAATATAATATGATAGAATTCTGACTTATTAATCTCTATATCTTTTCATCTTTTTGTCATTTTCTTTTCCCGTGAGTTGTAACATATAGGAAACTACATCCTTGTTTGGTACAAATTAAAATCTGATTTTAATATCAAGTCAGAGTCAACAATTAATTTTAACCACATATTCCATGTGATCCACAACTTTTCAATCACACATTCTATCAACTTTTATCAAAATTTATTAAAAATTTGATTTTAATCTACAACAAACTGGGGCTAAATTTTGAAGGGAAACTATAATTTATTTATAATAAAATTTTAATATTCCAATAAATAATATTTATCTATTTCAAGATATCAAAATTCATATATATTCATCCATTTTAAGACAAAAATTCGTACAACGGACATACTATCCTACCAACTATTTTTCCAAAGTTTGTACATGTGCACGTGTCGAAATTGCCACCAAACAAGCCTTAATCAAAATATTGCTATATAATATGTTATTACGAGGTGAATTAGAAAAATATCTACATTAGACGAACATTTTGACCAATCAAAAAACTATTCTGAAAATGACAAATATATCGTTATGCGCAAAATTTATTGTTGTTGTAAATTTTAATTCATCCAATAGGAAGGCTTCTTTTTCCAACAATTTGTCGATCTTGTAATGCAAATCCCGGTGCCTGCGGGCATTAGAACCAATACAAGATCAAATGTTAAACCTTATTTCCTCTTACCTTCCTTGCACACTTGTTTAGTGTAATTAGAAGCTACTTATAGGTAATTTAAACATGTTGATTAAAGCTTGTTAAGAGTAAGTGTTTGTGTGATTTAACAACGTTAAACAAATCTCTTTTTGACATTGTTTGGTATGACGTGTTTTACATGTTTTATTCTAAGGGATTTGACAAGATCAAACCTCAATACAATTAGTATCAAAATTTTTATGGAAACAAAAAAGAAAAAAAAAAAAATTTATTTTATTTTTACATGATAAACTATGTAAGGACAGCTTGGAGAATGGTCAAGTCAAGCGAATAGATCACGACACACATAAACATAGTTGGATGCCTCCTAACAAAGTTGATAATTCAAGACGAAACTCCAAGACTCAATATGATAATCGAAAACCAAAAAGTTCAAATGAGCTATTTACTGTACCTAAAGCTACACAAGTAATTGAATTTTGAAATTAGCGTCATCATCGCAAGCTAAGGATAAATATCATGGCGATTAAATATGAAAATCAATAATGAAGGTAGAAAGGTTAAACTATTCATGTTAACAAGATTAACATTTTTAAGAAGTGATTCGAACAGGTTAAGTTTGTCTATGGTCACTAAATAACTTTAGTGATCATTAGCGTAATTAAACCAACTCAAAACTTATTATTTCATAAGATGAATTGTAAAGCGGAGTGGCCAATATGTAGATTTGCCAAGGGCGAGGGCCTTAGGTCATGAGCCTTGCGAGCTACCAATGTGCTATGTTCCGAATTGAAAATAAGAAGTTCTAAAACTATTGTCGCAAGTTCTCAAATCCATATGATCTTTGACCTTGTAAACCTTTCTTTTTAGGGGTAGACAATACCTATGCGGATTAAAGGTTACAGTACGTAGACTATTGAATAAGTGTCATGATCGATGTCAAAAAAGTAAATTATAAAAGAAGTTAAAAGAATAAATAAAATAATATTTTTTGAAGAAAAATTCAAACATAAGACGCGCAGCTGTATTTTTCTTCTTTTTCCTTTTTCTTAAATGTGGAATTTGGGCAGTTGTTTATTTACATATATTTTGGGAGGCAACTAGTATCGAATGCCTGAAAGTGCAGAAAATCTGCCCATCTATTTACCGACAAAGTAACAAGGATCTTGTTGACTGCCCTTCAAATGGAAGGCAAAACCCCAATACAATCTTTTTATTATTATTACTAAACCCTTCTACCATTATTTTTTACTATTAAGCTATTTGTAAGTTAAGTTTGACATTCTTGTTGACAGATGAACGATGTGGAAAGATTGTGATGATTGGATTGGATTGAATATGTAAGATGTAAAAGATTGTGTGAGATTGTGTCAAATATAAATTCAGTAAACTAGTTAAAAATAAATGAGGATAAAACTAAATTTTTTAAGTATCATTTGCATCCATCATAATATCATATCTTGTTGAATTTTTTACTTGATTTTTTTTTTTTTTTTAACTTGATCTCACATTCAATAAAGTTATTTGTACAAAGTTGAGTTACAAAAGTTGGGTTACAAAGTGTTTTGGCAAATCCAGACCGTTGATTTCAAATGATTTAAAAATCTGTTTCTAAAATGATTGGTGTAGTTGTTATTTTGTCAATCAATTTTGTAACCTAACTTTATGCATGTTGCATAACTCACATTTGGTCGATGAAAACTCTGATATTGCACTTATTTCATACATCGAGGTAAACATGATTTATTTCAGTTAAGCTTTTAAAAGAACATGGAACTAATTATTATTTGATTTCTATTTTAGAAAATTGGCTGATTCTCTATGTACTTGTTTGGAAAAATTTAATTTATGGAAAAATTTAATTTATGTACTTGTTTGGAAAAATTTAGTCAAACACACTTTTTATTTATTTAGCATCACATTTGGCAAGACCCACAACTTTAAATTACTTAAATTTTAACTTAAACGAATCAAATGCGCTCTAAAAAACTATTGGATATCATCATGTAATAAAAAGTAGAATTAACGAGAACCGTTATAATGTGTTTATAATCTTTTTGTGACTTAGGGTTTTAAAAATCATAGAACACAAATTATAACTTATAATTATTACTAATATTATTTCATCTATAATTAAAACTAAAAATTAAAAGAAAAATGAAAATTGATTGTGTTCTTTGTTTCATTGTAAGACCTCAAAATATGACAAAAACTGAATGTTCTTAATTTTAATTTTGAATTCTTGTAAACTAGACGTGACTAATTACCTGCGGATCGAATTTCTAATCGATCTAATTCAACCAATTCAAATGAAATGTGTTCACCCTTTCTTTCGTTAACTTCAACCGGCAACAAATTAACACGAGTTTTCACATTTACCCTGTTTCATTGTGGTTTTGCTACAGTGGTAAATATATATTTGCTGACTAATTGGTCTTCCAATTGATATTTTATATAAATATCTTTTATACATATCTTCTTCTCCATGAACAAAAATTTCCTTTGGTACAGTAATCTCTTATAAATATTTTCTTCTCCACGAACAAAAATTTAGTTTCCTCTGATGCAGTAAGAGTAGTAAATTCTCTCAAAAATATCTTCTTTTCCACGAACAAAAATTTAGTTTCCTTCGGTGCAGTAAGAGTAGTAAATAGAGGGAATCACACACTATAGAAGTGTATGTATAAAATTGATAGAGAAGTTCTTTAATACAGAGGTGGTCCTTTTATAGGTCAAACAGAGTATTGGAAATTTATGAAAGGAAGCTCAAGCAATGGAAGAACAGTACCCCCAACGCAGTTGCAGAAGCCCAATTTTGATGATTTTAATCAGAAACTCGACAAACAAAGGAAGAGAGTGCCATTTCAGAGAAATTTCCTTATGGAGTAAGATGTTTGATAAGAGCGTTGGCCTAACGGCTCATCTTGTGTGCATGGTATATGCAAGAATTTGTTTAGTTTTTTATCCCTGTATTTCTGTCGTACCAGTTAAAGACCAAATTCTTCTTCGGTCTGGTCCAATAACAACTACATCTAAGCCTATTTTGGTTCGATTTTACAGTAGAAAATCTGAAGATAGAGGTTTAGTAGCCAAAAACAATAGGGTTTTTCATGCAACGGGGTCTTCAACAGTTGGCGGTTCAGGTCTTGCAATACGTTATACAAATGTGATTCACTTGGCTGAAAAATACTTGGATTCAGCAGCATTAGTAGATCATGAAGAACATGAATCCTTATACCAAATGCTGCAGAGGAAGATGAGTTGTTGGTTGTCGGGTGGAGAGATGCAATGGCGACGATTTTGCAATGGCTTGCACCTACGGCGAACGACACAATGAAGTGGCAAAGGGAGAGGAATTTTGAGAGGATGAAGTTTGATTATAAACCTTCATCAGTACTATTGTTAAAGACTTTGCATTTTTCTGATAAAGAGAAGAGAACTCCGTGCAGTGCGGAGTCTTTACTCCGCAATCCAGATTGCTCTAACTGGTCGAAAGCAATTTGTAATCACGATCCATTATTTTCCTTGCACTTATAAAATAAGAAATTCACAAAAATAGAGTTTTGTTATACATAATTCAAGTAAGAAAGAAACTGTACAATTCAGTGAAGCACAAACCTGAACATGAAGTCTACACTTCTTATCCACTAAAAGTTTCCTATTGGACTCATTCAAGCACGAAATTGGAGTCCCATTTAGGTCAACTGCAAAGCGAACGCCAAATCCCAGAGGCCAACCCTCTTGAATCAAAGAAGAAAAAGTGCCCACATAAGATAATTTCATAATTGTCCTCGAAACCTCAGCAGGAAAAGGCTTGGGATTGTTGGTGAATTCCAAGTTCGTAGGCTTAGAAACTACAGAAACTGAGCATTTCAAAGGTTGGATTGAAAATCCGTGACATAGGTTTGTTCTTAATGGCTTTAAGGATTGCAAGGTGATTGATTTAAAGGGTGGAAATGAAGGCTTGGGGAAATGGGTTGTGGGGAAAATTGAAGTGGGGAGATGAGAATTGGAAAGTTTGGTTTGGGGAAGCATTTGAGCTGAGAAAATTAGTGTAGTTCTGTACAAGGGCGTATGGTAATTGGGAGAGGAACAGAGGATTTAAATTGTGCAGTGGGTGTGCCTAAGATTGAACGGGGATGGAGGTCCGCGTAGTGCGGAGGGATACTACGCACAGTGTAGAGTGGAGCTCCGCACTGTGCGGAGTCGTGCGGAGGGATACTCTGCAGAATGTGAGGAGTGGAGCTCCGTGCAGTTTGGAGGGATACTCCGCACTGTGTGGAGTCATTTTGCTAAACAAAATTTTTTTTATATTTTTGAAATTACTGATTTATTTTTTATTTTGTGGCCAAAAAATGAACATTTCATTATTTCACGTAATTAAATTTAATTTAGGTGATAACAATTACTTACATTTTACACAAATTAAATACAATTTTATGCCACACAATTTTATTCCATACATATACGAAAATCAGAATTCCTTTTGAGGTGTTGCCCTCGAGCCCTCACGAAGGGTGCTGCCTCCTCGAACCCTGCAACATGACCGGGCAGGTCAATCCCCGTCGGGGGCGTTGCCCTCGAAACCTGACTGCACAAGTCATTCCTCATTTCGAAGCAACAAATCATTTACATAACTATAATAAACAAAAAATATATATTATCTCAAAACTAATGGATTTTTGCTAAACTTGAAGTTTTCTCAATAATGTGGTATTTCAATCCTGGAAAAACTTCAGCAATAAAACTTGACAAAGTTTTATTCCAAAGTTAGTGATTTATCAGTCACTTAAATATTTTCCACTAAACTTTCTTTCCTTATTTAGTGGGTACTATAAATATTTTGGTACATAATACAAATATGAATTGTCAAACGTTAGCAAGCTTAAAAAATTTAATATTGTCCCATTAATTTCTTCATGGGAAAAAAATTTTGGCTCCCAAAATCTTTTCATTTAACTATATTTTCATTATGAAATTTTACTAATTATTATGTTAGATAAAAACTTACTGAACTTTCACAATAGTTTAGTTTTCCATTAATATTTGATACACTAATATTACCTTACAAATACCAAAGCCCGTACATTGTACGAGCATACATCTAGTTTAAGAAAAAGAGTCAAAATTCCAATTATTAAACAATCCTCATTGCTCCGACAATTCTACTCACCGACCAAAAACAGAGAGAACGATGTGATTGGCTCTATAAAGAAAATAATAGAAACCCTCTATTGTAGAGCTTCACTATCCGTGTCGAGTTTTGTTTGTGATTCGATTGAAACCGGTGTTCTAGAAAGTATAAAATGTGATTAGACGTAAATGCGAATTTTCAACCTTTACAAGTTTTAAGTGAACCTAGGTAAGGCTCAGGCGTAAAAAAACGTTTTCTTATTTTTAATATTGTTTTTAATTTTTAATTGTTCTAAAAATCATTTAATAATTAAAATAATACATACCAAACATCTAAATTTATAAAATACTATATTTGTTTAAGAATTCCTATAATTAGTCAATTATACAATTTTTAAGTTTTTGAAATGCAAAAGTTAGACTATTTTTCATAATTTCAATTTTCAATTAGACAAGTTCTACTTAATAGAAATATTGGAACTTTATATATGCTTTAGGAGTTTTCAACAAAATAAGTCTCAAAATCATAATTATATAATGTAGATAATACTGTATTTAAATCTTATTTAACCCTTTATTAGATAAATTTATTTTTTTTCTTATGTACATATAAAGTCTTTTAAAAATTTGAAATTAAAGTCAAATAAAAGGTTTTTTTTTAAAAATTAATAAACTAAAGTTAAATAATTTTTTTTAAAAAAAAAAATAATAAAGAGATCATAGGATAGACGAAAGAGTGGAAGGAAAAAATCTAGTCGTTTAGAAATTAGAAAAAAAAAAACCCCAAGTATGAAGCTAGGCGTTTTGTCTAAGTTTCGAGCCCAGGCGCTATTTAAGCGAGCTTTTTAAAATACTGATTGAAACTAAGGACTAGAATGAAATTAATGCTGCTATCTAAAGAATGAAGAAATTACTACTGAACGAGAGCACAGATAGGGGTGAGCCATAGAGAAGTTGTTGCAAACGAGCATGTCGAAAAAAATTAAAAAGAACATGTGATAAATAAATGCATGTATTCAGTAAATCGCTATGCTTTTATTGTCGGGTAGCTCGCATTAAGATTTGTCGTTGTAATTGCTCGGGCGAGGTAGGCCATCTATAACAAAGCAGCACCGGCAACAGTGGTTGCCTATAAAATAAATCATTTGATTAAAAAAATTACTTGACTAGATATGAAAAAAAAGGAGGGAATTTCACAAAATGTCCACTTTTTTGTGTCCATTTGCAAAAGGGTAATTATATTACTACCACAAAAATTACTTACTGCACCACATTATAATCACACCACAATTAAAATATATTTTCAATAAATACACCACAACAAATTTATAATTATATTCATAATCCAATAAAAACTAAAAATGAAAAAAAAAAAAATTATTGTGGTGTATTTATTGTACCAATATTACTCCTCATTTTTCTCATCTACAATTTCATTAATTTTTCTAAATTTTAGGCTGCAATTGAGACTTCGAAATGCCTTACGTCTGGAAAACAAGGGATCTTTTTTCAACTGATATTGCTCCAATAAAAGTAGAGAAAGTAATTGCATTGTGTTTTGAGCATCTACCGTCAATCATCACTGGCTTGATTACTTGGATTATCTTTGCTGCAAACAATGCAAACTACATTGCTTCAAGATGAGACCTCATCAGACATGTTTTTGACAAAGAGATCGATAACCATCATGAAGAAAAATTATTTTTATGTCAGATTTGTAGTTCCCGAATAGAGAAAATTCTGACTTCGAAACATTGCACAGTTGACTTCTCTAATGACAATGGGGCTCACTGCATAAATGGAAAAACAAATTTCGCCAACAATTGATATCGTTTGCACGATTGTTGAGGGGGAAAAAAAAAAAGAAAAATTAGGTTTTCGATTGTGGTGGAACAATAAATTATTTTATGTAATAAATATATTAAAACCCCATTTATGTAATTTATTTAAGGTTATTTTAGTAAATAAAAATATACTTAAAATTGTGGTGTAACTAATAAACTTCGTAGTGGTAATATAATTTCCCTTTGCAAAAATGTCCACCATTGCAAAAATGTCCATTTTGAAAGAATTTAGACCAAAATACCCTTGCTAACAATTTATAATTTCACATAAACACAAAAATGTCCACTTTATTAAAAAATTTGTTGGCCAATAAAATTTTGACACATAACCCTAACCTATTTATTTCAAAGTACAATTGTCAAATCGTAATAAATGCAAATTTTCTCATTGACACAGAAATGTCGAGAACGACATTTCAAATGTAGATAAATGTCATGTTCAAAATAAAATGTCATTCTAGACATTTAATATGTTGAGAACAACATTTGAAATGTCGAGAACATTTAATATCGTGATTTGACATGTGTACTTTTGAAATATAAATAGGGTTCAAATGTTGAGAACGACATTTGAAATGTCGAGAATATAATTTGAATGTAGCTTCTCATGGAAACTACTTATCGAAATTTGTGAAAATTTGGAAAAAAAAAAAACGAATTGCTTCATTTTTCTATTAAGGGCATGATGGACAATTTGGTACAAAATTCAAAATGGTGGACATTTTTCAATTGACACCTAAAAAAGTGGACATTTTTTACAATGCCCCAAAATAAAAATAACAAAATAAATAATTTTTTCAAGAGTACCTATATTCTTAACAAATTTATATCATGTTTGAACCACATTTTATTGTAGATTGATGAAGAATGTATAGTTAAATTACAAGTAGTTTTTTTGAATTTTTGTGTAATATTATTTTATTAAAAATTTTGTGATTTATAATAAAAAAGAGAAAAATATAATTTAAAAATAACGAATTATTAATATCAAATACAGAATTTCTACATGGATCCAATGATTCAGTGCATTGAATGCGCCATCTCGGCATATTCTCAGCTGTATATTTTTTTGTCATTTGTCAGTTATTTACTATTTATTTTTAATTTTTTGAAAAAAAAAATGATTTTTAAAATTTATAATAAGCCATCATTTGGTCAAAGCACAGTTAACAGGCTTTCTGCACACACGTATGATGGAAGGTAGCTCTTATTGATTAGCAAAGTCAAACGTAAGAATTAGCCATTTCATCACGAGTACAAGAATGTGTGCAAATGATGCACAATTTACATGTTTTACACAAACTCAATTAGTTTTTTTATATGCAAAAAAATTAAAAAAATAAATTTAAAAGAACTTTTTTTTCTATGTATTAGTTCAATTTTATTTTATTATTATTATTATATTTTTTATTTTGAGTTTTTCATGACCCCGCCTCTGGTCAAGCTTAGAATTAAGTCGATTCTTAAAGTGCGCATAAGCATAATAGATATAAGAAATGATATTTATAGCAAATTCAGCACAAACTTGTTGAAAAATACATAAAATTATATTAAACAATCAAATAGAGTGTTCACAAGAATAATACCATGCAAGGAAAACATGTTAAAGATGCAACACTAGACTAGAAGTAATATAGTTATATTTAGATGGCAATTTTGATTTTATTCCATTTTTCTTAATAGATGTAATAAAAAAAAATTACATGAATGAGTGAAAACTTAATTGATTAAAATTTAAAAGAATAAGCCATGCGTTTCTTGAAAAAAAAAACCTGACACTAAAGAAGTTTTTAGCAAAAAGTAAGGTTTAAAGCAGGTTAAAGTGTTCCAACTTTTTGACAATTTAAACATGCAGGAAAATTATTAGATGCTTCTATTTATGAATATGCATCAAGCTTCATCATTGTATAGACCCATAAATTATTTCACATATATTTCTTCTTTTGGTTGTGTTTGACACCCATTTTGAAGAAAAATAAATTCTGAAATAGCGATTGATGAAAAGAATGTGTGGTTAAAAAGCAAGAAGAATTTTTGAATTTATATTTAATATTATTTTATTGATAGAATGTGTGGTTAAAATGAAGAAAAAAAAATGAGAAAGATAATGGATGTCAAACAAGGGCTTTATTTTATTTTATTTTACTGATAAATTATGTTTGATAGTGTTTAAACACTCATTGACGTCAATTTAAGCCCGAATACAATTTTCGTGTCAAAACCCTGAGACGTACATATTTTTTTTATAAAGCTTGCTCCAAGCTTCATCATTGGAAAGACTATAGTCGATAAACTATGTCACGTATTCTTTTTATTTTTAAAACATATTTTATTCAATTATGTTTGATAGTGCTTAAACACCCCTCGATGTTTGTTTAGGCCAGAATTCAGTTTTCGTGTCAAGAACCTGAAATGTACATATATTTTTATGAAATGAGAAAGTGATATATTTTTTCAACATAGACATGGCATAAAATGAAAACCAGCATCATTTTCTTCCATTATTGTCTTGAAAGTAGAGGAATTTTGCTGGCAAGTGGAATCCAATATAAAGAAGACAATTTTCATTTGTTTAATATCCTAATTAAAATGCATTACTCCTCTTGTTGCATGTGGATTCTTCACTGTGTGTGTGTGTGTGTTGTGCTTGCTTGTGAGACTATTTGTAAATGCTTTTCAACATCCCACGATGCTTCCACTCTATATTCAAACTCTTCTCCATTATCCTTATCTCTCAGCAATTCCACTCTTCAATTATATCTTCCATTAGGACTGTCTCCACTTCATCTCCAAGTCTTTTTCATCAAACCCATCTTTCCTAATTCAAGAAAAAAACACTTGTTAACCCATCTCGATCCAACAATTTCGTCTGCATTCCTTTTTACAGAAATCATGGCTCTTGAAACATGGTTGATCAAGGTGAAGAAAACAATATCACATAGTTTTGATTCTGTACGTGCCACCCCACATGTTACAAATAAGCCCATAATCAAGAAATCTAGTGTTGGAGTTTTGGCATTTGAGATTGCTAGTCTTATGTCGAAGCTCCTACACTTGTGGCAATCTCTCTCCGACAAGAATATGGCACGGATTCGAAGCGAATCAGTTTTGCTAGAAGGTGTTCGTAAAATTGTCTCAAACGATGATGCGTTTTTACTCGGCGTGGCGTGTGCTGAAATGGTGGGAAATCTGAAGCTGCTTGCTGATTCTGTATCCAGGATTAGCAAAAGGTGTGAGGATTCAACTCTTGGGGAATTTGATCGCTTGTTCGATGAATTCGCTAACACAGGACGTGATCCTCACAATTGGCTCCTCAGCTTGAAGGATATGGAGGCCAAGAACAAGAAAATGGATCGATATGTTACTGCAACAGCCACTCTCCACAAAGAAATGGACGAGCTTATAGTGCTAGAGAATGGATTGAAGAAATTATTGCGCAGTCCTAAAGATCATGATGCAGCAATCAAAGAGCAGAAGATCATTGATTTGCAACAGAAACTTCTATGGCAAAGACAGGAAATCAAGTATCTAAAAGAAAAGTCTTTATGGTGTAGAAGTTTTGACACCGTTACATCATTGCTTGCTAGATCTGTTTTCACAATTCTTGCAAGGATCAAGCTCATTTTCGGGTTGGGACACAGATATCCAACTTCACTTCCTCGTAGTCTCTCGGCCTCAGCCACGGTCTATCCTTCAGAAAACCCAAATTCATGCACCTTTGTATCTGGTCCATTGATGAAAGAACCCCCTCCACTCCAAGAAAATAAAAGTTCAAATCATGGGTTTTTCCAGTTGAACGCCATGATTCTCAAACCACCTTCAACTACGTTAGGGGCTGCAGCACTTGCATTATACTATTCAAATCTTATCGTTGTAATGGAAAAGATGATAAGATCACCACAACTCGTTGGAGTTGATGCAAGAGATGATCTTTATTCAATGTTACCAAATAGTATTCGATTCGCATTAAGGGCTAGATTGAAAGGTGTTGGATTTTCAGCTAGTGATCCAGCTCTCGCTGCAGAATGGAGAGAAGCATTGCACAAGATACTGGGATGGCTATCACCGTTGGCACACAACATGATCAAATGGCAAAGTGAAAGGAGCTTTGAACATCAAAATTTAGTGCCAAAAACAAATGTCCTTTTGCTACAAACTCTATATTTTGCAAATCAAGAAAAGACTGAAGCCGCCATTACTGAGTTGCTGGTAGGTCTCAATTATATTTGGAGGTTTGAAAGGGAAATGAACGCAAAGGTCTTATTTCAGTGCACCAACTTTAATGGATTCTTGAATTCTAATTAACCTTCTGAACTCCCCCCCCAGCCCCCCACCCCCCGGGGTTAAATCACGCTTCTGATTTTGTTATTTATATCTTATGAAGGGTTTTTTGTACTGAACCCTTCTTCCAGATCTGTGCGGATAGTTTGGCCTCTATCCCCTTTCTGTATATTGTAAAATAATTGTTGTGAACGATAAGAGTGAAAAAAGAATCGAGGAACATTTGGATCCAGATATTGATTAAGATCATAAAGGATCCAGTTGAACATTAAATATGAGATTGGCAGCTGTGTAATGATTAGTAGTTGCCCATGCTTTTCTAATTTACTCATATTGTTTATTAGGTTTGTTGAATGAAAATTTTCGATGCCCTTCATCCTCCTATATATCATATGTGCTTAATTTTCATATAGAAGTTGGGACGAGAACCTTCACAACATAATTATAATATTGAATTTAATTATTGTATTTTTAATATCAAGTGGTGGGGTGCGGGGGTTCATTTTGCAGGGTTTGATGGTGGCCAGCCAAACATGCAAGTGAATAGAAAAACTGGGACAAAAAATTGAGTTGGTGTCATCTGCTGCCTTGTGATGGGCGCCGGAGATGATGCATGTGCGCATGAGTGCATGGGCCTCACAATGTATTGCTAAGATAATATGAAAATAGAAGCAAAAATAATCAAGAGGAGACCATAGAGATTTGTGTGTTTATTTCAAAAAAATCTAGAAAGGAAGATAAATTTCCAAAGAGTAGTATGAAATCTACTGTTAGAATTTAGAAATATTTATCTAGAGTGGATTAATAATAGCGAGACAAATGAAAAAGATTCGAGGATCGAAACGTTAAATTACGTAAACGAGATTGATGGAGTGACTAACATTAAATATCCTGCTCATTATGAATCTAATTCGTTTCTTGGTCATACATTTTAAGAATCACACTGCGCCAAAACTAAAATCGTTTCCATGTCTTAACGTAATAATTAAATAAAGAACAAATTTTCAACCTATAACTACAAGAATTAGTGCCGTAGAGATTTGAGGAAATTTGTGACCTCTAAGGCACCTAATACTCAGGAAGAGTTTGTGGACATTGTTTTGTTCCAGAAACAATTTAGCATTAATTCATGAATATAGAAGGAGCTTTTATTGCACGTTTGAATTTTGGTTGACTACGTAGACAAGTATATGAAGGCCCGAGTAAATGAGCAAAGAAGCAAAAACACTCCCAGGGAACAAAGTTCTCTTTGGATAATGAGAATTTTTTTCATGGAGCTTATGGAATTTTTTTTTATAGGGACGGAGCTAGAGTTAGAAAGAATCTAAATTTCGTTTAACGTAGAGTGTTATACAATTCACACAAAACTATCCTTTCTATTATTTAGAATTGCTATCTTGACGCCCCCCAGGGCACATCTCCAAGTAGTAAAAGGGGAAGGTGGAAAAAATCCAGCTTTGCTTAAGGCTGCCGCATCAAGGGTTCGAATCCTGAAATATGAATTTGACCGTTGGGTAAGTGTAAGTGTACAAGCAGCCTTTCACCCTATACCCTTGGAGGCATAACCTGCGATTTACCTCTTTTACCAAGGTCCAGGGCAGATGGGGGCCGCTAAGGATGCGGTTCATCCTTTCCTTTAATTGACATCCAGTAGTGTATATATAAAACTTGATAAGTGATATGAATATGAGTAGGGATATCAAAGTTAAAAAGATAAAAGATCGAGCGGTCGATAAGGGTCGAATCGAGATTAAACTGGTAGACTAAAAAATTAAATAAGTTGAAAAAAAGGTAAAATCAATTTCAAATTGCCCGGTTTTTGCCTTGTTTTATAACTTCTTAAACAATTTTGATAATTTCAATTTTACATGTAACTGAATTGAATTTTCGGCCACTTATCCAATTTTTCAATCGAACTATCATATCGAGCTTGGTTCTTATTACATTGCTTATGATATCTCGTTTGGTACAATATACTCGATACAATTAAGGGAAGACGTACGTGTGGTATCATTAATTATATCTAATTCTATTCTAACGTACTAAGTAAGATGTTATCATGTATTTATAGTAACCAATGTTTTTCACATGGTATGACTGTGGAAATTAATTGAAGGGGTGGCTGTTGGATGTGGATGGCAAGCATTTGTCGCCTATGTAAATGTTGGGTGTTACTACCTTGTGGGAGTTCCAATTGGTTGTCTTCTGGGCTTCAAATTTAACCTTGGAATTAAGGTACAAGAAATTAACCCCCTCCCCTCACTCTATAAGATTGTGTCATGTACTATAAAAATTCATATTTGTTTTTTATCACGTGTTGAATATAGGGAATATGGTCGGGAATGATAGGAGGAACAATGATGCAAACCATCATTTTGCTCTGGACAACATTTCGAGCCGATTGGAATAAAGAGGTAAAACTATTGAATAC